CTGCATAACAATAAAATCTAAAAAAAATATGAGTTAAAGAAACATTTTTAAAGCTTTATCGATGTGTTCACAGCAAATTCGAATCAATGTAATTGAATAATATACAAAAGTGTATTGAATAAAGTATTGAATTTGTGTTTTTAGTTAATATTTAGTGTATTTGTGTTGTTTTGTGATGTGTGTGAAGGTGACCTGCATGGGGTCCATCGTGGCTTATAACTGTATATGTCGGTAATTGCATAACATCTTTGTGGGCAAATATTTTTTGTGTTACCTCCAAAATGCCAAAGGGTAAGTATCTGGCAAAAAGTGACTCATTCAAAACTTATTGCATGATTTTTTTTTAACCACAAATATCTTTATCATTTCCTTGTACATGAACACTTATTCATCGATATAAAATGTTCGTGGCACTTCTATTTAGTGCTACATCCAGCTTAATGCTGTTTAAATAAGAACTCTTCTCAGTTAAAAATCTCTTTTTAATAAATAATTATTAAAAGGCGCGTTGATTTTCTAATGCGATATAAAATAAAGATGTCATGAAAATAATAACCTCCCTTGAAAAGCCTTGGTCTAAATTTATTTTTATCTTTGTAAAGAATTTAAATAATGAACAATGTAAATAATATTTTTAAATTAGCTATGCTTACAAGCTATAAAATTTCCACATATTTCCAATTTGAAATGGTTTGAAATTATCAACTTTGTTATGACTTTCTTACCGATACGAATTAGTATTGTTGAACATAAACAATGAAATATTTCCTTTTCTAGATAACCTAACAAAAGTTATATTTAGATAAAAAAAAAATAATACAAAGTTCAGATGCAATAAAGTTCATTGCTCCCATTCGAGTAAGATTCCTATCATATCTAGGATGTAGACCTCTTCTAATAAAGTAACTTGAAGATAAAACTCTCTGCCTACGTCCGCAGAATAGTGGGAGATTATTTTTCAACTATAGTATAATCTCTGTACATATAATTCTCTGTGACATCATCGCTGGCAGTCGATTTCAAGGTTAAAAATGAACGCTACAAAACCCTGGTCACTGAATAATTTCACAAAATTACCTCGTCATCTCAAAACCAACGTAATGGACTTAATTCTATGGACAATTGACATATACCGGTTTTATTAAGACATATTATCACGTTCGTGAATGTTAGGATTTTGAAGTTATAATAATATCAAGTAATTAAAAACTAATTGTTGAATATTTTTTATAACTTTGTAATTTACTTAACTTGGATAATTACAGAACTACAAACGAAGGCTAACAAACATTATCACAGTATTATTTTTTAGAAATTACAATAATTAATGCAGATTTTTATAAAATATAGACTTCAAAGAAAGTCACAAATTAAAATCTAATTAAAGTTAAATTTCACATTAGTAATCTGAGTAGTGTTTCGCCAAGAAATTGTAAAGAGCTTATTTTAAGTTCTCCGTTCTTAAATTGGTTCAACACTTAATTGAACGGTCTTAGTTTTCTGACAAACGAATTAATGCGCTGTAATAACCATCTGATGCTGTGAATGAAATCTGACGCTAGCTGTTTATTTTAACGTCGACTGGATTCTGAGCCAGCTGTTTGTTTAATTATAAATTTCAATTAAATAAGACGTTATTGGTTTTTAAATAAAAGGTTTTTTTTATAAAATTCTAGATAAAATCAAATCATTTCAACATTTATCTACGCAAAATTGTAACATCCACTTACTTATGAATACTTACTGAGAAGAATTCAAGACGCATACTCACCAGACGTAAATTGAATTGAGTTTCAAACCAAGCTCACATTTGTTATTAAAATCGTAAATAAATGTAGACATTAAGGTAATTTGCAAAAATAGGATTCTAGATAAGGAAAGAAAATTTGAAAAAACTCTTCTTTTTCTGTCCAAGAAATGTAAAATATTTAATTGATTACATTTCACCAAACCACGAAACAAAAGGAAAGCTGTTAAGATTTTTTAATGGTCATTGTTGGTATAAAAATTACTTAACATTAACCTTAGTCATTAAATATGACGGATTGAAGCATGCAAGTACAGAGTGGGTTGATTTGCCGTCTTGAGTTACACTATTTGACGCCACTTGAATCAATGGAACGCCATTGGCTCATTGTTTAATCGTCTGTTTTATCAGCTGTAATGGCCATGCTGGAGTCCGTGCATTCGACTCATTATGACACTCATGAGAATTGTATACCCACTGCTACAGCGCACACTTAAAGACTATTCCTTTCAATTTATTCGTGTTATACTTCAATAATTACAAGAGCTAAAAAGTTGTGATCGAAACTTATGGCTTATAGATATATGGCAAATATTTCTAGTATTGTTTATAAAGATTTTTAAAAACTGATATAATGGAAATATAGAATAAAAGTAAAATGTATGTCTTGTTTAAAAAAATATTTATGACGTAACAATAAATGAAATCATTTTGTTTATTTTTCTTTTAATTTCACTGCAATTTAATCTTGGTTAAATCAGTTAAATGTTTTTTATAACAACCTGGAATAATAAAAACTTTACTTACTGCGCTGGCGCATCTACCCAAAGTGGAGTTTATATTAAAACTTTACGGATACTAAATTTAGTTAGTTAGTGAATAAATTTGCCACATTTCACTATTATAACCAAATTGCACAGCTTCACGCATCGCAAAGATTTTTTTATACATAATATTTAGGTAAAAAACCAACACATACTCACTGTCATATTAATATTTATAATGTTTTCTCGCGTCTGGCGACATTGTGTCTACTGGCAACGGAGCGTAGTAACCTTGCACTTTTTATTTTATCTCTTTACTTCCTTAAATCATATTTTATATTTGTTTACCACTTATATACCTGTTAAAGTTTCAACAAAAGTATTTAATAAATAGAATGACATACAGCTTTTTTACTTTTTTGTACAAAATAATGATATTTACAGAAACCTTAGCTTAATATAAATTATTGATGACACGTGTTTGTGTTTGTTTTTGTAATTGTCAGATATTGTATTCACAAACTCGTATAAATTGTGCTATCACATTGCACGACTGATTTTTTTTTATAACATAAGGTGGCAAACGAGCAAGCGGCCCCCTGAAATCGCCAAAATGGCGAAGCGACCGCTGCCCATAGACATCCGCAATTGCAGACGCGTTGCCTACCCTTATTCGACGGAGGAGGAGACGCACAGAAAGAGGATATTTCCCCTTCCTATGCATCTCCTCTACCGTCAAATCCACTTCCTCTTCCCAACCTCTCCTTATAAGAAAAGGGTGGTAAAGAGAAAGGGACTTAAATTAGGCCTCCGGCACCACACTTATCAGACGAAACACGGAATTGCTTCCATTTCACGCCTGTCTTCTGTGTGGTCGTGGTATTACACCGGGCGTGCCGACCCATTCGTGCTAAGATATTAAAGCGGGCACTACCACTGTAGAATAACATATTGATATGGTTATTTCATAGCTTTACCAAACATCCCAACTTCAAAGGACTTCCCAGCTTCTATGAATACCCCTACTTTGGGATTCCCCAGTTAGCATTTCTTTCCCTTTCCTTATTTTTCGACGTAAGATGAACTTAATTATTTTCGCACGGATATACACATATCTGTAAATCTCACGTACGAGTAATTTTAATTTTAGATAAATGCATATTTCTATAACTGTGCACCATGAGTTTATTCGACCTTTTTACAATACATGTAGAAATAAGAAGGGCAATAAATTTTTGCCCTTCTTATTCTCTGCTTTTGAGAATATTTGCCAAGCATTGTGTGCATACAATTTCATTCTTTATTACATGTCTCTTTACAATATTACTGTCTACAAAACAATAAGTCTATTGATATGAAATACTTCGAACATTTCTTTGCTTATCTTTAAAGGTCATTTTTTAGTTTCCATATTAAATCACACTATACTTTTAAATCTCTGTAATATTTTAAACGCATACTAATTCATATAATATTCATACAAAATTATTTTCATATTTCATTTTAGTAAACGTCTTTGAATGCAGTTTTTATTGCATTGAATCTTATAGTGTTTATCATATTCAATGATTACGGTTCCAACTTAAGAAGCGGTACAAAAACTAAAAAGGTTACCTTGTTTTTGTTATGATGCATAAAACTTGAGTTGTAATGCAAAGTAATGTCATAAAGGTAATCGCAATTGTAAATTTACATACAAGAATGATAGTTTTTGAATATAAATACACCAGTGTGATTTACCATATACAGATTTATTACAGTCAAACTGTTATAATAAATCACTAATATATTGAATATTAGTGGTTGTATCTGAGATATACACTTTGAGCCACATATTGTTCATAATTCGTTTCAGTAATTGGCCGATTAACTGACTTCGGTTCATGACTGATTGTCTTTCACACATTCTGTATGTTAAAAGAAACAGAGCGTATCTAAATTTGGTATAACATTCTCTTATGTACAGTTTTTGTATCGCATTTGCAAACCCGAAATCAATAAATGTATTTTGAAATCGACCTTTTGCAACCCATATTGAACCTTATACTTGCACCATTACTACTACGCCCACTGACCCGAACGTTCATTACGATTACAAAGACGACGTCATGCGTTATTTCCATATACTGACGCACTCGTTCTTCACTACTCTAAGACGTTTTCTACTCATTTACCTAAACAGCCATGGTAGCTAGGCCAAACATTTTATAGTTCACAAGCTCCTACAAGCTTATTCCTCACTGTCAAACTAAATTATACTATTCTAAATGTAATTTAAAATGTATAATTGAAGCACCTATCGTCTATCAACAATATTTTCCGACTTTCCTCTTTCTTTGTAGAACTATCCCATAAAGTGCTATTCCTACTTATGTTCCTTCTACTCCATGATGGTCCAATTTGAGAGATGTATCCGGATTTCTTGTCAAAGAGTTAACTTCATTTAAATGTAGCTTGTGCCTCTGTTGATTGTATCTGTTTGTTTGCAGGCGACGCCGATATGTCGCTGAAGCAGGGCAGCGGCACCGGCAAGGTCCACTTCGGTGGTCTGGACGATGTATCCCTGTACGGCACGCCCGTGGAGCCCGCGCCCCCCGCGCCCGACGCCAAGCAGGGCTTCTTGCGCAACCAGCTGCAAGCACTCTTCCAGCCGACCGACAACAAGCTAGCAATGAAACTTTTCGGCTCAAAAAAGGCGCTGATGAAGGAGCGCATCAGGCAGAAAGCAGCCGGCCACTGGGTCATCCATCCGTGCAGTAGTTTTAGGTACGTATTTTTCTAATAAGAAAATAGTATAAAAATGTATTTTCGCCTTACAAGGAAAAATACGACCACTTAATTTTCCAATAGTCGTTTCGACGTACGCTCCAAAACCATTGTCTTTGCACTATAAACAAATTGAAGTACTGGTGTCGATTGCTTCCGAACAATGTAACCGATCTTGTTACGATTTTACAAAACATAAAATATTTATTCTGCAATACATTGGACGCGGCGAGGCTTACAGGCAGTTAAAAATAAAGAGCTATCACGTTTGCAATAAAACAGTTTTTGCAACTGTGTTGCTACGTTGCTCGTATCCTCACTGTTACGACGTCGTCTGGAACTCGTCTACTTTAAATATCCATTGCGAGAATCGCATCAAACAGAAGTAACCGTCTTTGATTACACATTGTAAGATTACGAATTCTCAAGCATTTTGACGTTTAATGGACTGAAATTTAAATACTACTAACTATATCTAACACAGATTAGCGCAAAATAACCCCAATTTTAGTATGTCATACATAAATCATTAGATGTTTTATATATAGCCTTGTTTAGTTAAAATAAATCCATTATATAAAATCCCAACTCGTAAAAATCTTCTCGGGCATAAAAGATAAATAAATAGATTCACAAAGGCGGACTTACGAGCTCAATTTAGGCCGCAAATGGTAATTAGCTGTACATTAAAAATTCGTATAAAACCCACGGAAGCTTGTTACTTATTCACTGAAACTGTCGTATTAAATGCGGCGACGGAATGCAGTGAATTATTCATCCTTCGTCTCATTTGCAAAACTCTACTTCAAATGAATTAAATTTATAAGCACTATGACGTAGCTATTTCTAAACGTAAACGTGCATAAAAAATTTAAACACTAGCTGAGCTCGATATCAAAATAAAGACTAAACATTTTTCGGTTTTAATGAAAAAGTTTTTTACTTAATATGCACAAGCCTTTTGGTATCTTAAGAAAAAATACAAAACGTTGTACAATCATGTTTAGAAACTCTTAGAACAGAAACAATTCAATGCAACTAAAGAAGTAAGGTAATGTTTATTTAATCTTTAATCGCAGAAGGTAATTTCTTTTAGCTTCTGTTCATCTATAAATAATGTATTGTATTGTAATACAATAGTATTAGTTACTGTTATTAATTTATTATTTATCAGGAAGCAATTATTTATGGTAAACATTATTCATCTCAAAATATAATTTATACAATAAAGACAATTGCGGATCCAGAGGTCAAAGCGGGTCATGGCGATCGCGGCTCGGCGTTATTAATATATTTTTTTTAAATAATGTATTCGAAACGATTAAACCAATTAATATAAAGTCGATTAAAAATGTATCTTTCTATTCTTTTGATACAGATGTAGAAATATCACACTGTGAATCTAAAAACATTCGAAAATGTTTATATTTATGTAAATAAATAGATAAATAAACTCATCACATTTTCTTTGAAAAGTAAGGAAACTTATTTTTAGCGCGCAATAGCATTTTGGAACTAAGTCACTAATATAGATCCGACTTACAACTAAACTAATATACCAAGTAGTCAATTCAACCATTGCAAGCTCAGCATGTATTGCAGTCCCACAAGAAAGGTTGAAATAAACTCTATTCCGATACCATTTAGGTTTAATTTCCGTTCATTGTACATGGGATCGGAGCCTCGAGTGATTGGCAGTCATTAACATAATTTCCGAGTGGCGGCGCGCTATCGTTTATCGGCGAGGTGACAGCTTCCGCTCGGATTGCTCGCAGCTCAGTCGCAACGCGATTAGATACAGATGCAGGATACCGATTGATTCGCATCAACGCACTTTATGAACTACGTAGATTTATCACGATAAATCTAATTTGGTCTTTCTTAGTAACTATTTTAATGGACGTTAGTAATTATTTTAATGGTCCCTGGTAACTATTTTAATGAAACCATTAAAATTGTTACTTTTGTTACCTATTGTTGCTAAGGCGCGTTTTGTCGTTTATAATTCGATGTGTGTCAGTCAGTTCATAGAAAATTCAACAATGGTATATTATACTTTAATATAATAATTAGAAGAGTCGCATTGTCAATGTTTTGTGTAATTACAACATAAATGCGTAAAACCAAAAAGTATGCTGAAAAAAATCAATATTTAAATATGTTAATGCTATCTTTAGAAAATTACGGTACCTTTCTACGGTTTACTTAGTTAGAATTGAAATAGATTTTCACATTTATTATTGTTTTTCTTATGATTTATTGTTGTAATTAGCAATTCCAAGAGAATAAAATCATCAATGTCATCACAAAACGTATACGTTTTATAACGTAAATAATTTGTTGGAGGGTGTAAAACATTGTAGGGATTATCTTACAGATAGTTCGAATTGTATTTAAAAATTAACAATTGTTAATTTAAGAAATAGTTAGGCTGGCTGTACTTCTATGACAAACTCGGTACAGTTGTTTAAACCATCATAAAAGAATTGGTACACAATATGATCCTGCATACATAAAAACTTATAATTAAACGGGAAACTCAATTCCAGTAGGGTTGTTGAGAATTAATATTAAATCCAGTTTGACTTCGATAGGTGTTTAAAAATTGTGTAATTCCAGTTTATGGTATTGAACAGTAAAGGAAAAATAGCATAAATAGCATGCCAGTGGTCCATTAATAAAATCAACAACGTAACATGTTCATCAAAAGGCATTGTAGCATCGCGGGAACAATGGCGGGCGACGCATCGGCCAACAATACAATGCATGCGTCGTACCACTCGTTACGTGAATAGGGCTGCCAGTTTTATGAGTAAAGGTATTCTTGTGATGGACAAATCGACGTTTTGAAACTGGAATAGTTCGGTTTGCATTTCGATGTTGTATTATTGTTGACTTTTTCATGGTGTTAAAATTGAATTATCCTGATTCGACCAAACACATTTGATAAGTAAAATAATAAAACTAAAAGAATACTCAAAATAAGTCGTATTTACAAGACCAACTAAATTATTTTTGTTTCAGAAAATATATTTTTAGAACAAAATTACGCTTTGTATAGTACAATACGAAAGCAAATCTCTCGACAATAATATTAAGATCTTTTCGCTTTATAATTTAAAGGAAATTTGCAGAACTAATTCTGTATTAGCCTTGGAGAATTTTAGTCCATAAATTAACACGAAAGCAAATCTAATACCATTAAAATGTGAGAGTGAAAGTTCCACAACAGCCGTGGACAATGAAAATTAAGAGTTATTTAACGAATTTAACAACAGTGAAGCAACAACCGGCCCTGATGGTTATAAATCTAGGAAATCCGGCCATTGGATTAAGATATAACTGGTTGTATGAACGGGAGAGCAAATCCAATGTCAAGGTCCTCGCTCCTCTACTACCGTATCATTAGGACTATCACCTCGCTCGATTGACGGTACCTATATCTGGTTATGACCAACTATAACTGAGCTCGTAATCGTACTAAAGGTTAATGTTACCTTCTATCTTCTATACATAAAATAAAATTGGTGTGTCTGTTTATAATTTCAAAAGAAAAATTCTAGATTTCGGGAAGATGGTGTATTTGCGTTGCTGATAACGAAAATCGCATTTAATTTTTTTTTTGTCTGTCTGTCTGTCCACAAGCCGCGCTTATTCCGTGTAATCTCCGAAACGGCTGGGCCAATTTTAAAGGGACATTCACTGGAGGGTAGCTGACATGGGTAGGCATATTATAGGCTACTTTTTTAAATCCCGCGCTGTCAAAATGGCGTAATGGGTGGTTCAAATTTGCTGCTCTCGTTTTAGACAAATTAAAAAGAATTGTGTTTAATCAAAAATATATTACCAAAGCATATTTTTTGATCAGTAAAGTTATCCTTTCATGGCACGCCTCTAACCCAGAGGGGGAGATAGAGAACAGACTACCATTCAATATATCAGACACATCAGTAATCCTTTGGTCGGAAACAGTGTTCAGAAAAAACAAGAGTAGATCAATTATTCATCGGAATTGTTTAACGACTCGGAAAACAACG